CGATCTAGTCTTGGATCACAGCTTCTTTTTTTTAACTGAACGGATTTGTTCTTTTGTTGTTTTCCTTCTTCGGAGTTTCTTATCTGGTTGCGGAGGCGCCTGACCGGGTTACCTGAAGATGGTGTGGCATGCTGGTGTGATCTGGCTCCAAGGCGAGCCGGTCGACAAGGGGAAAGTTCAGCTCCGCCTCGGGACAGCGGGAGATAAACTCGACAGTGGTGTGAGAACGGAGCGGCTCACACCTGAAGCCCCAAAACAATGAATAGGTGAGTTTTTATTTCTTTATTCAGCGCAATGGCACCAACACCAAATCCCCGAAAATCCCACGTTGACTTCCTGACATTTGTATCTGCTCCAACTTCTTATAACAGCCTTCATCCTTGACCATCACACATCGCTACACGTGTCTGTGGATGACCTTGGTGAAGCTGTGGGCTCTGTTCCGTGGTCTGTATCAGCTCAGCTGCTTCTTCTCGCGGTAATGAAGCTGAATTACAGTCCGCTTGTGCGCGTAAAGTGAACTTCTTGACTCTGGGAACAGTTTCAGATATAGTAGCGACCTTTTCTTATATTCATGTGACAATCTCATGCTGGCATCTCATAGTTTATATCGTGTAGTGTAAGTCAACATTTTATTCGTTGGGTAAAAACTGCACCCCTGGCTTTAAGAGCCGATCAGCAGCAGCAGAGGGCGTCAGTGATCAGCTTTGGTTTCAAGTCAGTTGAGCTTCGCTGTTTCTTTTAGTGTTTGTACGCGCAGCCTACCCACAGTTTAGAAAAAAGGAAGTACTGAAGTTACACTGTGTGCAGGGCTCTACGTGTATTCACTTGGCGGAGCAATAAACGAACAAACAATGCGTGCAGTTTTAAGTCTCGGAGCTGTAATGTGCAGCTGTCACTGTAGAAGAGCAACGAGCAGCAAATGATAAGCATGTGAGAGCGTTATGATCAGAGTCCTGCTACACAAACAAACAGCATCGCCTGAAGTATAGCAGATTTACACTCAGCGATCAGTATATTAGGATCACCAAGCTCACACTGAGTCTAACCCAGAGGTCGTGCAGCTCATTTAATCCTCACTGATAATGGTTCCGCAGGATCACTGCTTATTATAACTGCTACGGTCATTTTAAAAGCCAGCGAGGATTACTTCTTACCAGGTTCTGTGTCCTGATTTTAAATTATTTTGAACTACGATCTCTAAATCCTCCGCCTGTCCACCCTGACAAAGAGGAAGCAGATGTTGAAACAGAGATGCTACCAAAATCGGCCTATATGCTTGTGTTGTAGTCACAGACTATATTAAACTACATACAAACTACATAAGCTGCTATTATTATTTATATTGGTTATTCTGTACTTTTTTTGCTGGGGGGTCTTTGTGAGGGATTTCCTTCCTCCTCTTGCCCGTCCTCATTGAGTCACGTGACATCAGGAAAACAACAACTGTAGGAAGGAAGTCCCTGCAGAGATGCATATCCTTGCAGAGTTTACAGAGCAAAGTAAACCACTGATCCTGTCACATTAGTATA